AGCTGCCAGGCGCTCGGGAAGGGCACACCTGGCGCAGGAGAGCGGGCAGCAGGGAAGGAAGGCTCAGGGCTCCTGCTGGACTCGGTTCCCTTCCCGGTTTGCCTCCGGAGCAGGACGCGGTAGCGCCAAGCGAAGTGTCTGCTCAGGTTTCCCGCAGATGGAATTTGGCTTCCCTGTCACCTGGGGCATCCCTGCTGCGGTGCCAGCTGCGGTCCTGCCACCAGGCATTCCTGGCACTGTCTCCGAAGGGTCATGGCCAAAGCCAACGTGGAGCTCGCCTTGCGTGTCTCAGGCGAGCAGTTCTTCTGAGCGGACTAAGACGCTGGTTTCTGCCAACATGATGGGTTTAACAGATGTTCCTCAGTGTTAAAAACCTTGGCCAACCAAGGCTCGAGCTCCTTCATGATTTTTTTTCCATGCTTAGTACAAGTTGTTAACTTTCTGGAGGCAGAAGAAATTTTGCTTTTCTACTCGTTCATTCGTTTCTCCTTCATGTAATAATCACTATTTTCCGTGCTAGGTTAAAATACTGATCTGCAAGGGACTTTTTTTTTTAAGGAGGAGAAGCAGGAAGTCTCTGACCTAAAGAATCTGTTGTTTACACTTTCACGAAAGGGAGGAGAAAGAAGAGAGGGAAATTGGTATTTTACTCAAATCGGGACAGCTCTTAACTCTTCATAAAACATATTTTTGCTCTATGTTCAAGATATGAATTAGGTGCTTGAGAAATTTGGTGAGAGGAGTAGGAATAACAGTTTTCATGCTTAGAAAAATAGCAGTTTGAGAAGTCAGTGTGAATTTCAGAAGAATTCTGTCGCTGTTGCTAATGAAATTACTTGGTGGAGACTTTCAAATGCATACACACATTTACAGTTTCTTCAGCTGTTAAATAATTTTCTTTGAAGGATGTAGAGAAAAACAATTACCGTGTGTCATAGTTTTATGGATGGTTGTGGGTGTGTCTGGAGTGATCAGTTTCCACTTTCCACAGTTTACCACTTTCATGACAGACTCAGTAATCTGCAAAAAATTAAGTGGAGAGACTGTAAAATCTGGTGGTGTTCCTGAGGAAATATTTTTAATAGAAATAGTTGGAAATCGAAGTTTATGTTAATTGTGTGGTTTAGTGCTGGGAGGCAGCTCAGCACTACACAGCCACTTGCTCACTTTCCTCACTACCCCCAGAGGGATGGGGTGAGAGGAAAGGAAGAGTAAAATCAAAAGTTAAGGGTTGAGATAAAATTTTTTAAGAAGTGAAGAAAAATATGGGTAAAGAGAAGCAAACCAAAGCTGGTGATTTAGGATCTCCTAAATCAATGTCCAGCCAGTTCCTGAGCTAACCAGATAGTCTGAAAAGTGTAAATTTGTTCATGATCACTTCATACCCACTTGTTCTCATTCTCCTGTCCTTAAAACTGTTTTTTCTCCTTAGTGATACTCCATACTTGTATGGAAAGCAGGTCTATTTCCTTTTCATAGGGGTTTTGTTAGGCTAGACAAGTTATGCTTTCATCTTTTTTCAGTTCCTAAGATGGGCAACCTGCTCCTCCATCCTGATAACCCTTGTTTGCCATTGTTCTTTCAATCTTTCTCTGAGGGTGATCAGAACTCTCTTATATTGTCTGTGAAGGTTCACTCATGCCTCATTATCTGACATTAGTTCTTTTCTGGTTTTACTAAAATTAGTCTAAAACTTTTTTTCTTTTGTTTTATGGTCACTTCACGTTGGAATTAGTTAAAAATCCGCAGGGGTAAACTTTCTACCTCTCACTTCTGATCTTGAAGTGAAGAGCTATGAATTTAGGCACAAATAATTGTTATGGTCCCTGAACACCTGTTATACTCCCCAAGATGTTCTTTCAGAACTCTAGTAGGAGTCTTGTTCTAACCTGATAGTAGCTCATATGAAAAAGAAACCGTAAGCACCTTGCATGCTTCATACTAATACTTAATTTCTCAGCTAACCTTAAAATTTCTAGTATTGTATCATATATTCTATTTACCAGTGTTTTTGCAGACTACAGTGTTTGCATGATCTAGTGTCAATGTACTGGGACATTTAAAATGGGGAAAGCATTTTTTTATGTATGTGTGATGAGAAGAATTATTCTTGAGGTGGGAAAAACAAATCACTAAACAGCTGGGACAGGCACACTGTAATTACTGTCTGCTCACAGAACTTGATGCTGACCTACACTTAAAAATCCTGGGACAATTGGCTGACCAGTGTGTTTTATCTTTAAAAAACCCATCAAATATTTACTCTCTGCTGAGCTGGAAAACAGAATTATTTCCATCTCAGTCTACTAAGCTGCTACATTCCTTCTGTAGGCTTCAGTCATCTGGTTTTGTTTTCTGTTACATGTGGAAATTGCTACATATGATAAATATTAAATATTGAAGATGGAGGGAGAGACCCAACTTCCTTGTTCAGCATCTGACTCCGTTTATTCACTCAGTCACTTTTTATAACAGTGTTAATCAAGTTCATGCATATTGCAAAATCTGAGCTCCTGACAGGCTGTAGAGAAAACTTCAGCTCCTCCTTTTGTTTACAATACCTGAAGTTAGTTTACTGAAACCAAGATCAGTGTTCCCACCATAATATGAAAGGTTCTCAAAACCTTCATATCTATTCCCAGGCTGGCCGTCTGTTCCCAGTAGCAGCCAAGGACAGAACGGTCTGAGAATCTTGTTGTTTATATAAAAGGTGGCTGAGAACCTAATTATTTACAGGATCAAGCCTGGGAAAGGCTGCTTTTTCCCTTAGCTGAATACCTTCATGGCCTCTTTCTTTAAGCCATGCTTAAACCAGGCTCTCCACAATTAAAGAGATTGCCATATCATAGACCTGATCAGATAAACAGTCTGATTTTTGAGACTGGCGTCTCAATCTGCTTGTTTCACTCTCCATGTACTTTTCTGAAAAACTGTGCAAGAAATAGTGAATACATGTGAGGATGAGGAGATAACTTCTTTGGTTTCCATGCTTGTATGGAATGTGCTTGTAGCTGGTCCTAGGCTCAAATCTGTAATTTTTAGCAAGGCTTCCCATGTTGTGAGCTAGTCTGGTGTGTTTTGCTGAGGAGATGAAGGAAGGTGGGCAGAACCTTCAATGCCAGTTCTTTCACTGCTGGTCATGGAGATCACTTCTCTCCCAAGCAGTCACTTCTGTGAGTATGAGAGGACCACTTGGAGGTGTTGGGACACTCAAGCTGGTTTTCTGTTGCTGATTTTTTGGGGTTGATTGGTTGGTTTGTTTGCTATGTCAAGTGTAGGAATGAAGCAAAACTGCTTTCATAAAGTGTTGTTTGCCTCTGGTGTTAACAAAGTTAACTGATGTTAACTTTGGACTTCAGAAAAGATAAGTAAAACTTGTGAGTAAAAACAATTCAACAAAACTCTGAAACCTTTATATTTCCCCTGTAAAGTCCCATTCATTTACTGTTGTTGTTGAAGGCTGTATGTTGTGTCCCATCTGACTTTAGCATTTCTTTCAGCTTTTAGACAGAGAACACACAGGAAAAAAGCAGGCAGAAGACAACAATAGCCCCGAATGCAGCGAGCCAGGAACCATGGATCTGAAATTCACTTCATCAAGAAAATACATTTCCATCAGTGTACCCTCCAAATCTCAAGCTATGTCTCCCCATATCAAATCAGTAGATGATGTTGTAGTTCTTGGCATGAATCTCAGCAAATTTAGCAAACCTACTCAATTTTTTATCTGTGTTTCTGGAGTTTTTATGTTTTATCTAATCTATGGATATTTACAGGTAAATATTATGAACTTGTGTCTTAGGCCAATTCCTCCTACCCCTTGTCTTTTTCAATAGCATAATAATATAGTATGTATTTTAATATGCATAGATGTTTTAAATTAGATCTTTGTTGCAAAGTCAGCCTTTCAGTGTTTAAGAGCAGAAAGTAATATATAATCTAAGTTGCCATTATGGTTCATGTGCCTGTAAAGTTTAGATCCCTTGGACTTTCATAACTTGATCTTTTACTTTTGTGTGCAAGATACATCAAAGTCTTCATTGATGCTGAAAACTTTAGATCTCCTTAAGTTGCATGAGTACTGTGCAGTTACAGTCATCTTACTTTTCTCTCTGCTCTCAGGACAGAGCTGAAACATGTACTATGGTAATTTTTTAAGCAGAAGGATAATATTTATGCCATTTTAGTTAAACATTCACCATTCTGCTAGTCTTTTCTCTCTTATCTTGAGCAGCTACATTTCTGTTCCCTTTTTAAAATTATTTTTGAATTCATGGAGTATTCTGAATAAAGCAGTGATTAAAAAACTTGATCATTAAAAATCATGTTTCTAATGCAGTTTTCAAAAGCAGCTGAGAAGTTTGCGAACATAAAGTTACTTCAAAAGAGTTAGGAAAATATGATCAGTAATTAAAAGCAGGATCCCCAAAAGGTAGATATTAGGTAGCCTTTTGTTTCTATAACTGATACACCTACATAACTCTTTATGACGTGTATATATTTTTCCAGAACAAATTGCTCTGGTTTGAAATATTCCTACAGCCTACAAATTTTTATGAACTCACATGGGCTGTTTAATGTTGGCACTCACAGTATTGGGTGTGCATTTCTAAGAGTTGAAAATTATCAGTAAGCATGTTTGTTAGAGAAAATTTGTATTAAATTTATCTAGAGATATTTATAAAATCTGAATAAAAACGGTCTGCTGAAGTAAATGAATGGAAGAGCAGCAAAAAAGGCAGGCAGGAAGCTGTCTGTAATATGAGATAATTAGTAATGCATCAAATGTATTCCCCTAATGAATTGATCCATTAATTTTATTGTATTTATAACAACAGTAAATTTTCTCCTTTCATTTTGGAGAACTTAAATGGTCTTTTTCAATATTTTCACAAGTTACATGTGGCAGATAAATCTAGTTAATAACCAGCAACTGCAAAGGCTAGATTTGCATGCACATCAAGGGAAAAAGGTCTGTTAATTCTTCTTCATCCATTTAATATTTTGGTGTATGTACATGACTGTGGTGGGTTTTTGTTTTTATAGGAATTGATATTTTCAGTGGAAGGTTTTAAACCTTTTGGTTGGTACCTCACTTTAGTGCAATTTGGATTTTATTCCATTTTTGGACTAATAGAATTGCAGTTGATTCAGGACAAAAGAAGAAGGTATGTGTTTTTCCAAGCATTTTACACTGTCCGTGAAATTAGAAGTATTTGATACTTAGCATAAATTTAACTTGTGTTTTTTGAATGTGAGTACTGTAAAGCATTGCTAGCAGTTCTGTAGATAAAAGGAAGTGAATTTGCTGGATGATGTTAGAGAATATTTTAGAAGCACCCTCTTGGATTTCGGGCCTGTAAGTAGTTCTGTTGACTCTGCTGTCACTGTCCCACTTGCAGAACATATTGTGTCCTTAATGTGGCTGATAGAGAGTGAGTCACGTATGTGTTGCTTGGGATTGTCACATCTAGAATAGAGCCAATGCACTTCACAGCACTTGAAGCCATCTGTCAGTGAATATGTTTTCCTCAAATATTGGCACCTCCTCACCAAGAGATTCCTCTTACGTGCTGTGCATCTTGGAGAATGTCAGAGGTCAGCTCTCTGCTTACTGTGTAGCTGAGTGGGTTTGCTTCAAAGGATGTGCTGAAGTGTTGTGTTTTGCATTTAAGACAGCACTCATACCACTCTGCCACAAAACTGTTCTGTGTTTTCACTGCAGTGGACGAAGGAAATTTTTGATTTCTGAATCCCACTGGAAATGGGATCTTTTCTGACTCAGTGTAGCCATTCTGCAGCCTCCTACCCAGCTATAGTCTCTGCAAAGTGTTTATTGAGGCACTCTGGAAACTTGAATACAGGCTGTCATGGTGTACATGAATTTTAAAGGTGCCTCATATTGTAGTAGAACATAACTAGTTTTCCTTACCTGCAGTCAGCCTTGGACGATTTTGCATATACTGGTTTTAGATTATAAAATTCTTTTTTAGCGAAACAACATAACTTTGATAAATTATTCCTTTTACTTTAAACACTGACAGCTTGTATTTCAAGTTACCTGACTTCTTGAGATGCATCAGATAATATTGCACAGTTACCTTTTGGATTACTTGTATTTATGGGGTTTTATTACCAGTTGGAAATGCTTACAGAGCATTTGCCTTCAAGTAAGTCGTGTTGGAAATGTAGATCTGAAATAGATTTTACATTTTATTTTCTATAACCCAGACATCTTCTTGTAGACATGCAGAAATCTATATTTTTAAAATTTTTAATTTTTCTTTCATGGCTCAGAGTATATGTACATCACATAATGAGTTACAGAGAAGACGGGATTGCAGCATGACGGCTCCTTATGTTCTTAGTGTGGTTCTGAGTGCATGAAAAATAGCTGAACATATGCACAGCAGTAACTGTAAAAAAATCACAAAGTAAGCACAAAAGTAACTGTTGGATCATCTGTTGTCAGGTGGTAATTTCATCAGATTGTGAACAAAATATTGAAAATGTTCAACCAGCCCCTCTGTTCATGGTGTCTGAATCACTGCTCTCTTAGTTTCATTGGGTTTCATTAAAAAATGGTACTTTTTTCAACTTTCTTCATTTTAAAATTGTCCAGGTTCACATGAAAACTTCACCAAAGAAGTTGTCACAGTGACCTGTGAGAGAACAAAGATCCAGGTTATTTCAGTATACCAATTTGCCACATTTCCTTTGAAACCTTTGTCTTGATTCTTGTGTAAATAACATACCTTTTCAGAAGCAGGTTAAAGAATTACTTCTTGAATACTTCATGAGCCATGAAGTTTTTATTGTCTTGTATTTGCTTTTTATTTGCAGTAATTGAAAGAAATTAAATATGAAATCAGAGATTTTTGTGCATTTTTAAATTTCTATTAAATGAAATTCAGTGAGGAAGATGTTGAGGTTGTATTACAAAAGTATTTCTTTAACTGAAATTTCCAAGCTAAATCTCCTCTAGATGAGTCTGTAATGCCAAGATCTGTATGTTTATGTTTTGTAGAATTCCTGGCAAAACCTACATGATAATAGCATTTTTGACAGTGGGAACTATGGGTTTGTCAAATACCTCTTTAGGATATCTGAATTACCCTACTCAAGTCATCTTCAAGTGCTGTAAACTGATTCCAGTTATGATAGGTGGGGTTTTTATACAAGGTAAGTGTTAGTCTTGCTATTCGATGATTTTTTTTAAAAAAAAATCTTTCTTTGAGAGGCAGTCACAGGTGGAATCCTGTACTTTTTAATATTCTGCTGGTAGAATTTTTCTTATAGGAGGAAAAATGAGAATTTCTGAAGCATCTTCTGGGAAATGTACAAATGTATTTAGATCAACAGAAAGTATGGGGAAAAACATTGTACTGGTCACTTGCAAAACTTGATTTTTACACAAGCTTTCTTAATTTTTAGGAAGTGTAAGTTTGTTTTCTAATCTAAATCACTTAATAAATGAAACAATTTCAATATTGAAATGGAAAAAAGAATCCAACCAGGAGTTGTGAAGAAAATCTCTACTCTTGTTTGAAAAGATTAATTCCTAAATTTTGATTAAATGTTTAATCGGAAATACACCTGATTTTGCATGTCTTTGGCTAGTCCTAAAGTCATAGTGCATATTCCAATAAGAGAAAATGGAATATGGAGAAAAACAGGAAAAGTTTGTAGTTATGTGAATAAATATACTTCAGTGTTTCTGGATTTAGAAGGGTTAAGCATATTATAATAATAAAGTTTGTGTTCAATACACAAATGTTTAGTCAGTAACACTCCGCATGGACAAGTATAATGGAACAAAGTCTAGAATGCTGTGTTTCTGTTTCTGCTGGTAATCCTGATCTTCTGGCTGAAAAACAACTGAATTTTCAAAGGAGTTTTCAAGTTTACATACGTACATGCCTACACAGTATTTACCTTTTATTTGGAGTAATTTTATCATTTTAATGCAAAGTGACTGGTATTTCCCTAAAGCTTTATGAAACTTTTTATTGTGTTGTAGTAGTGTTGTAGTCTCAGAAGCTATTTCTTTTTAATATTGTTGTTACAAAAATTCAGTTCAACAAACTTCTCTTGAAGCTTATGTTCAAAGTTCAGCTTCTGAGCAAAGAATATATTATTTTAAACAAGATATACTAACTCCTGCTTTATCATGCCCTTACTTTCTTTTTCTATTCCCCTCCACAACCTGTCTCTCCCAAACTATAAGACAATGTAGAGTTCTCAGAGTACCAAAGTTGTCTGTCAGTGTTTGGAACTGACTTCTTTCCGATTAGTAAAGGCAGCTGAAATGTCTTGTGTGAGGGAAAAGTATTAAGAAACATCTAAGCTGTCCTGAAGTTGCTAGGGGAATGCTTTGTCAGGGAGGAAGTGCTTTGTGTCAGTGCTGCAACTGTGAACTCAAACCAAAGCTGATCACAAGAATCAGGTATTTCCCCTGTGGTAGGAATTTCTGTTGTAGAAGAAACTAAGTCTGGTTGTGAAAGACCAGAACATTGAGTCTCCTGTCTAAATAGAAGAATGACATTGGAACAATGTTTCCTTAGTCTTCTAGTCTGTTAAACAGGATAAACATGAAATTCTGAGTGCTAACAGTGCATTCTTGCTGTTTGTATTTTGTAGGAAAACGTTACAATATTGTAGATGTGTCTGCTGCCTTGTGTATGAGCCTTGGATTAATATGGTTTACTTTAGCTGACAGCACAGTTGCACCAAACTTCAACTTGACAGGTAAAAACACAATTTAGAGTTTAAAAAAATGCTTGGTTTTTCCTACAATAAGCATTCCATTGAAGTTCTGAGTTCTTGCTGGAGTGCCTTCAGGTATCCTACTGAAAATGCAGTTTCATTGTAGCTTTGCTCTAGCAGAACTCTGTGGCCTCTGGTTGAAATGTCTCATATATTCTTAAGAAAGACTTACCGCAGTACATATATATTAAAATAAATATGATAAATTTGGTTGGAACATTTTAAAACTTAAAAAGATAAGTTGTCTTTCCCAGTTAAATGTTTAAGTATTTTTCCATTTCAGAACCGTTTGCTTTATATTAACGGATGATCACTGTCAGATTTGCTGTAGTTTTTAGGTGGAGTTCTCACATTTTAACCTTTTAATACTATCTAAGTCAGAAGCAAAGCAAGGATTTTGAACTGCTTGGAATGAAAAACTTCATTGAATTTCCTTGTCAAATGACAAAGGGTAACTGAATTCCTGAGTTCATTCCAGTGATTTGTATGGAACTGTTTCTATGCAGATTTCTTTCAGAACTAATTTGGGTCCAGTTTTTCCAATTGTTTTTACTCATGCTTTACATCCAATAAAACACAGGTGGTCTTATCCATGACTTTGCTGCTGCTGTTTCTGTTCAGCACTGCCACAATGACTGGAACAATTCTCCTCACACTCTAAAATGTGCAATGGACATAAGATTAACATTTCTCTTGTTCCCCACGTTTCTCCTCTCCATGTGCACTGGTTCTTCAGGTTCAGGGTAACCTTTTCATCTCAGTCCAGTGCTAATAATGCATTTGTCCAGTGGTGTGCCTAGGCCATTAAGCATGGCCAGAACATGAATCATGATGAAGAATGCCCATGGAGGGACATTCATCCCTCACTTTACAGAGTGGAATTGCTGAACTGGAGCCGTTATTATATCTTTGGACCAGAGCTGAATCCGTGCAGATGAGATTCCTATATTTTTAGCATTACCAATATTATTCATGTTATCATGTCTTTTCCATTGAGTTATACCTTGTCCATTGCCTGATAATCTTGAATGATGAAGAGACCTGGAAAGTCTGGCCTTGGAAAGGAAATGGTTCCCAAACTAAAAACATTGATTTAAAGTTCTTTCCGAGAAAATACCACCTTAAGCTTCATGGGCCTTAAAAATGTAAAAATCTTCCACCTCTGACTGTAAGAACATAGGATTAAGAAAATAAAACACTGCTTGTTTCTAGTCTTCTAGTTTCTTCCCTGACATGATCTTTTAAGGAACCAAGACTAGAGCGGGTTTTGATTTGCATTTTGATGATTAGTATCTTCTGTAATGTTGTATACTTAGGAAAAGTGATATTTCAACCTGTGTTCATCATTAAATAGAACAGTCATGAAAGTTTGTGGGTTGGGAAATGAGCTGTGATTGACATGACTAGAGTTATCAGGTTTTTTATTATTGGAAAGCTCATTGCAGTAGTGACTATATAGTGACTTCCTTGTCAGCATAAATGGTAACCTAAAACCATGGAGCTTGTACCTGAACAGTAGTTTTTCTTTTAAATTAGTGTTTCAGTAATTAAAGATCTCTACTTTCCAATCCTCTTGCATTTTTTTACCATCACATCTAACATTTCTATTTGCCTTTGTCAGGGAAAAAAAAAAAGGGGAATTAACTACTGAAAAAGAGTATTTTCATTTTCTCTGGTTATATATCATCATTAACTAACTGCAGATGATACTCTTTGTCACTCTTGTTACTACAAAAGCTACAGCTGGCTTCTTTATAGCAATGTCCAGATGTTCCCATCAAGCTTAGAGACACACAGTGCTCAGGGGTTAATTGGTGGAGACAGAGTGGAGGTGGGAACTTCCTTGTGCTGGTGTCATGAAATATTTTTGCTGACTTCTATAGGGGAGGGCTGGTTATTATTGCTCTATTCCTTGGACTTTTTGCCACCATTCTGCAATGAATATTCTTAAGAGTGTTTTTTGTTTGTTTGTTTTAATAGGTGTGATCCTAATATCCCTTGCCCTCTGTGCAGATGCAGTTATAGGAAATGTACAGGAAAAAGCTATGAAGTTGCACAATGGTTCTAATTCAGAAATGGTAAATACCACATTTGCAATTTTAAAAGAACATGTTTTATCATGGGCAAGGCATCCATTAACAAAGCATGGGATTTAATGTGCTTTTCTCTTGCTTCTGGAGGGAAAAGCTCTTGGTGTACTGTTCTTGGGGTTTTCTGTTTGTCTGAGGAGTTCTGCTGATTTTCCTGTTTCATTTTCAATCTTTCAAGGGTGCTGCTTTCTGAGTGCAACTTCAAATACAAATACAATATAGCTACAGAAACACTCATTTCTAGCAACAATTCCTTTGTCTACCCTGCAGGCCTGAGATCAATGTAGTGCTTTTTGTATGATCATGCACTTCATCTCTGAGAAATACACACTGTTCCTCTGGTGTAGCTGGGCATGTGTTACATGGAGCATGTTGCTTTACTTTACTTGCTATACTTTATATTCCAGAGTGTGCTAGCACCTGGGAGGCAGGTTTTTAAAAATCTTTTGAAATCTGTTAAACTCTGGGTGAATTTTTTTATTCCTGATTCAGTGAAATACAATTTTGACAATGTCTTGCTCCGTTTTTTTAATATACTTACCTGAAATGCAGATTATCTCTTCATATGGTCTGAAGTTATTTTTCTTTTTAGACAAGACTTGTTTGAATTTTGCATATTTCTCTCTGAAGTTGAGTAAATATAAGTAAATCTTTTACTATAAAAGGCATGATATGAATATGCTACAAGTAAAAAGTTACTGAAATTTGTTTTCTATATTTGGCATGTATTTGATATTTAAAAAGAAAAATCTAATTTTTCATGAGAATAGCTTCAGAAATGGAGAAAAAGTTAGAAAGTATCTTCATATAAGGCTAGAAGTGATTTAGGATGGCTTGAGAGGTTTCAGCTACATACAGGTTTCTGGAAAGTGGAAGATTGTATACCTAAAAGTACCGCTATATTCCTGTTTTTATTCTTGTACTTAGTGTTCACTGTTGAGGTCTGCTGGGAACAGAGATTTGGCTATGTGACCTGATGCAGCCTTCTTTGGCTGTCATTTCCAAAATCCAAAACCAAAGTGCAATCTGTAGCTTTTTTCTTGCCCACTTTGCATTTGACAGTCTTTGCTGCCTTACCTACAAAACTCCTGCTGTCTCCAGGACTTTGCTTTTTGTTCTGCATTAGTCTGACAATGTTGGTCTTCATATGGTATACTCGTACTACTTGTCGGGAATGAGAGTAGTGGTTTAGGATCTAAAGGTTTTTTTCGTGGTTTGGACATTCTACTTCAGGATTTTGTTCAGAGAATTCCGTGCAGAAGTACAAGCAGAATTTTGGAAGTCATTTTTTATACTTGAGACTCTGGGTAAAAATTGAATTGGAATTGGAGATCACGTTTAATGGACAGTGATCTGGAAATAAAATTGAACAATAAAGGTACATGTCATCCACAGGGTCTCTCTTACTCTGTCAAATTTGGAAATTGCCCTAGATTTAAGCAATTGTGAAAAGAGAAAAGATGTTTTGTGGCTGAAATAATAATCACTGTTCTGCATGGTGTTACCTAATTTTTGCCTTACATGTCATTTTATAGAAGTGACATATATTACACTGCCTAACAAGGAAATAGCAATGTGGTGCTTATTCCTGGCTGTGAAAAGTGAAGCCTTTAGGAACTTAGGGAGACCAGCTGGATGCAGAGGCAAGTGAAGAACTGGGGACTGACTTCTGTGTGTATAAACAGTGTAAAGTAAAAGCTCTGAGGATTAGGTCATTGGCTTTTAAATGTTTGAAAGCAGGTCTGCTCTTTAAACATGTATGCATCCTTCTTTATTATAGAGCAGTGATAAGTGGTCTGTTGTCTCAAGGAGTTGCTAACAATTTTTAATAGTTTTTTCTCAATAACTGAGATATAACAAGACACTGAGTTTTGAAAGCATAGTAGATCAGCATGTGCTAGCCAGTATGTGTAGAATAGTTCTGTTGACAAGAAAAGACTACTAAATGTTGCCCAAAAAGCTGAACGAATCCTGCTGCATGGATGGATGGATGGATGGATGGATGGACGGACGGACGGACGGACGGACAGTTCCAGTTTCTACTTCGGGCTTAGTGTGGGAAAGGCTAGATGAAGATTGTTTTGTTGCTCGGTGCACCTATTAATTGAGTAAGGGTGCAGACAAATAAAGGGCTTACCTGTTTCCTGAGTGTTCTGAGCACTCAACTAGGCCAAAACTGGTCGTATTTAAAAATCCTGCATGTTATAACCATGCGTGTGTGCCATGCATGTGAAATGAAGTGACTCAGATGAAACTTACGTGACGCTTCTGGTGGTTCTGTGCTACCCTTTGCACATTTAATGTAATGCAGGTGTTTACTGTGCTGGATAAGTAGCAGAAAATGAAATAAGTTTAACATGTTCTTGAGGCTATTAAATTGCATAGTTGTGGGAAGTTTTATTTAGGCTGTGAAATCCTGAACCTGAAGGATTTACCACATTTGACACTGACCTCAGGACATTATTAACTGGCTAGCTTTCCAAACTTTTTATGTTGTTGTGGGTAGGAAGAATGTGTCTAACACTTAATGTTGACTTTTCACTGTACATCAACTATTATATAAATGCTAGTAAAAATATCATCAAACCCTTCAAATTCAGCTCTGAGTTTCTGAGCATATTAATAGGGCCAAGCATCTGAAAGCATTTAATTTTGTCCTTTTGAAAAGTATCACCTAGTAATTATTTTCTCTTACACTATTCTAGGTTTTGTATTCCTATTCAATAGGTTTTGTGTATATTTTATTTGGATTAACATGCACTAGTGGATTAAGCCCTGCAGTAACATTTTGCTCAAAGGTAAGTGTAAAGATTTACCTTTTCTATGAAGAACCTCATTGGAAAACCTTGCTCTCTATGATTCAGAAAATCTTACTTCTCTCTCTAAAGTTCTATTTTCATCATGTAAACAGGTTAACTTGTATAATTCATACAGTAAGCAAGTTTTTCCAGTCTTTGATGTGTTAGATAGGGTAATGTTTTAAAAAGCAACAAAATCACAGGACCAGACTTATGAGCTTATAATTTCATTATTATTTTTCCATTATTTAACTAAAATTAAATAAGTATTTTTGCATGAATGCATTGTTGAACAGCTTATTATTGCTCAAGCAGTTGATTAAAGCCTGTAGTTTTATGTCATTTTGCAATACCTCAGGGTTTGTTTTACATTTTCCTAACCGGCTTTTTTATTGTTGCAGCATCCAGTTCAGACTTATGGTTATGCATTCCTTTTCTCCCTGACTGGATATTTTGGCATATCCTTTGTTCTAGCTTTGATTAAAATCTTTGGTGCCCTTCTCGCTGTAACAGGTATGAGCAAATTATATTTTTACTGCCTTTGTATAAAAACAAAGTAATTCTCTTCTATTATTTAGGACAGAGCTTTTGAGAATGGTTCTTACTCTGGCTTTTTTTCTGTTCTTTGTGCTGACTGATTTGTGTAGCATGCATCTTCACATGGTAGAATGTGTTTGAGATCTTCCTGATTCTTTTTGTGCCACAGTTTCAACCCTGAAGAGCCTGTTAAGTAAACTTGTCCGTATAGTCTGTGCTATGTTTTAGTGCAGAACCAGACACTGTTCTGAATGGAGAAGTTGAAATTGAATCACAGAATCATTTGGGTTGGAAGGAACTTCAATGACCATCTAGTTCCAGCTGCCCTGCTATGGGCAGGGACACTTTCCACTAGACCAGTTTGCTTAAAAGCACCATCCAGCTTGGCCTTGGACCCTTCTGGGGATAAGGCAGACACGGCTTCTCTGGACAATCTGTGTCTTACCACTCTGCCAGTAAAGAGTTTCTTCCTGATATCTCATCTAAAGCAGCCCTCTTTCAGTTTAAAGGCGCTCCCCCTTGTCCTGTCACTGCATGCCCTTGTGAAGAGTCCCTTTCCAGCTCTCATGTAGGCCCCCTTCAGGTACTGTGGGTGCTATAGGGTCTTCCCAGAGCCTTCTTTTCTCCAGGCTGAACAATCCCAAGCCTCTCAGCCTGCTTTCGTAGGAAAATACAGAAAGGAAAAGACATGTATCAATTAAAATACTAAAGGAAAAGTAAGGATGTTCTAGAAGGCATAGTAGGCAGTAACATTGTTTCTAAGCATGTGAAACTACAAACATTAGTCCCAAGGGCCTGGTGGGGGGAAGGTGTAGCAAGATGTCATGTAGCTACTGGCCTTTCTTCTTCTCCTAAAAGACACCCTGGTTTCTGTCAGGTGATGCTCTACTTCATTCACAGTAGTGGAAGGGAAAATTCATCATTGTTCTCTGACCTGAGGGTTACATGCTCTGATTTCCTATCAGTTATTGCCTATGCAGCTTATCTGTTTTGTATTTGCTTTTAACCAAGTTCAGTAGCTCTCTTCACTAGAAATTGACCCAGAGGAGAGGGTTGTTTCATGTATTAAAATACCTCTTAAAAAAAAAAAGTCTGACTGTACTAAAAAAAAGTTTAAAAATGCTGTAGAATAGTAAACCTTTCCCCAGTTTTCTTATGCCTGACCTTGACAATTCTACCACTTGAGCCCTTTCTGTCTTGCCTGTAGCAATATGAAAATGTTTATTGTTCCTTGGAAGAACACCACATTCATTACTGTCCCTCCCAGCTCCCCCATCCACCCTCCTCCTTCTTGAGGGGAGTGGGGTGAAAGAGTTTAATGAAAATTGTATTTCTATTAGCAGAATGAGAAATTATCAGACTTAATTGGGAAAAAGAAGAAAAGGCACTTAATTTAGAAGGAAATGGTTACATAAATATTTTAATTAATAACTGATTTGAAAGAACAGAAATAATTGTAATTAGAAAAACTGAAGTAATTTAACCATTTTTTTAAATTATTCATTTGTAAACTGTTTTCTAATTAAAACTCAATTTTCTTTTTCATTCTTCTTTAATTTTTCATGTAATAGAAAATCATTTTATTTGATGTGCATAAATTTCTTAAAATGTAAAAAGAAAATTATTACTAAAAAGTTGAAGTTGGGGCACATGTAGCAGTACTGAAGGCTGTTTCTTCTACTATAAAACACTCTTAAGTGAATATTTGTTTTTGGGGTAGAGTTGGGAAGAATGAAACTTGCTTTTCTAGCCAAAGCACTGTGGAAAGGCATCAGTAGTCATTGGATCCCTTTGCCAGTGTGTTGCAGTAAGACTAATTTGGATGTGGTTACACAAATAGGACTTTGCAGTATGATATAGTTAAAGGAACTTCATGGTAAGCAAAATATTTTCTGATATTAAAGTAATAATATTCTTTAGTTGCAGACCTACTGCGCCCTGTGCAAGGGTCTTTCTCAAGTGAGAACCCTGTGCCGTTATATAAAATAACACCTTCTCAGCTCCTTAGCTTCCATAGCTAAACTTGTGTGCTTTCTTACTTTGTTTTTAAACATCTTCTACAACTTTCACTCATTTATTGATTTTGCTTCAGTGATAAACTACATAGGTTTCCTGGTACACAGTTCGCTAGTAATGCTTTATCCTTGTTCATTATAGGTAGCATTGAAATTGTTAAAAAAATTGTTGGAGCTATAGTTAATTTCAGAGCAACAAAGAGTTTATCTCTATTTTGGAAACAGGATTGTGTTCTCCACTCTTCTTACTACTTGATTCTTTTTAGTGAATGGATCAGGTGTAGAAGAATGTCTCTTAGTGGTTTTGAGGGAAACTTCCTAATGCAGTCACTGTAGTCAGACATTCTTGGTCTCTTAAGCTTCTATGCAAATTTGTAATTCTACTGTTACGGAAATTTTCAGTAACTTCAAAAGAGTGATGAGAGGATAATCCCATTCCACTGAAAAATAGAGCCCGAAACACCATGGAGTTGTAATAACATGAGGTGTAAACAGCAAGATATTTGACCTTTGGTCTACATCCAAGCTTTAACAGATGAGTTTATATCAGTTATTTGCATGTTGCTCTCAGAGACTGTGGATTGATTAGCATGAAGTTATTAAATAGCAGGTCTTGTTCTGGAAATTTCCTTGCTGTGAGTAGTGTGACTTGAGATGGCACTACTGACACAGTGTATTTGTTTCCAAAAATCACATAGTTCCAGTGCTGTTTTGCATTGCATTGCAGTCTGTGTTTGCACCAAGGGTGTGATCATCATTTTAGTGAGACAATTATTTTATGACCTGCTAAGCCTTTGTTATGTTCTTTTGTTGTAACTGAATTCTTAAAGAGGTTAATACTTGTTTTCCTCTCTAGTAACAACAGGAAGAAAAGCAATGTCCATTGTGCTTTCTTTTTTGTTCTTTGCAAAGCCATTCACGTTACAGTAAGTACTTACAGTTTTTAGTGGTTTGCAAAGTATTTTGTAAAAAATTATGTTCATCATGGAAATATAACAACACTTACTAATCATATTCAGGGGTTAATATATTTTTATATCTTCTACAAATGTTGGCAATCTATTGTAAATATTGACTGGCTTGTTAATTCTAATCATGCTAGAGAAAAGAGTTTACATTTTTCTAAAGGTCTGGAAGACAGCAAATAAAACTAGTCATAATATCTAGTGCTTATGATACATTATAAATTGTTTGGGTACTTTCTCTGTGTTGGAAAACTTGTGTAAAGGAAGGGATTTTCTCCATTATGGTATTGCTCCTGCTTTTATAAGCTCAAATTTGAATTCTTAGCTAGCCCTTTTAAATAACTGTATTATCTTGATGTATTATAGTACCAAATGTTTGAGTAAATGCAGCAAAGTTGCTACTTTGATTTTAATTGCTTCAGTTTTGAAAGAACATAAAATTCTATTTTATTTCTATATACAAATTGCTTTAAGAACAAAGCTTGCATGCAAATCCCAAATGGAATTTACTACAGCTAAAAATATTGAGGGTTAAAAGAATGGAGAGCTGAAAAAAAATGTGCCTACATTGGGAAGAATGGATATAAGGCACTGAGTGAGAAAATGTTTTGGACCAGTATAGCTCCCATAATCATAGGGAGGAAAAACATACTAAAACCCCTCAGGATTATTTTATTCATATGAGAAAGAACAGATACTATTTAGTTATTATTTAATTTATAAATGCATTTCAATAAGCTCTCCAGCCAGGACAGGAATAAAGAAAGGTGGAAGGATAGTAATAATAAATATTCAGGGAAATTCTATCTCAGAGCCCACTGGTTTTTGGGGGATTTTTACTGAACTCTTCTCTTCTTAATGTGAGGTTTGTTTGATCCACAAATATTGATATGTAATTGCTAAAGATGAAGTGCTAATGGTAACTTTTTCCCTCTCCTCTGCCTCCCGTTTAGGTACGTGTGGTCAGGCTTACTGGTTGTCCTTGGTATATTTCTTAATGTTTACAGTAAGAATATGGACAAAATCAAACTGCCTTCACTGCTTGGTCTTTGGAAAAAAAGTGTGGAAGAAAGAAAATCAAGGACGTTGTCACAAACTGTATAGACAGTGGTTCATGCCTTGTCTAGACTTTGACTTACTATTTCATCATACAGTCTTCAACTGATTCACTTCAACTGACTTACTATTTCATCATACAGTCTTCAACTGATTCACTTTCCAAAGGGAATGTTATTTAAACCAAAGGAGCTGAAAGGCATATTGTCTGCTTGCAGATTGCTATAAGTGCACACTTTCATGAGCCCTTTCTTCAGAGCACTTGAATTCATCACAAACGGTGTTGTAGGCCATTGCCAGATGGTTTTATCAGCAATGAAGGACAGCAGCTCCTGGCAAACTGCTGAGAAGCTGCACTCAAGTGAGACATGGTAGAAGACTGGTTTGGGCATTTTAATAATATTGACCATGTGACTGATCTGAAATGAGTGGTTCTTTGTTAATTGTCTAGGTGGGGTAATTTAAATGTAATACTGTACTAATCACCAACTGGTTGACCAAATCGTGTATTCAAAGGTGGAAGGTTTAGAATACAGTATGTTCTCACTCTTTTATATTTTAAATAAAAATGTTGGGGTTTGTTTAAGTTATTTTTTAGGTCATCACAGAACTTGATATTTATTTTAATAATTGAAATTTTAATGAAATCCTAGTGTTTCTCTTTTTGTAGTATTGCTTGCAAGTCACAAAACTGAGATTGAGTTTATGCAGTCAACACTCATGCTCATGCTAGGAGGAAATGGGCTTTTAAGCTTGAATGGGGTGAGATGGAAACATTGGTGTAAGAAACTGTTATTTGCTTAATCTGTGGTCAAATACATCATTTTTAGTGGCCTGTGGCCGTCTCTCTGATTGTGGTATAAAGAGACATGGAAGTTCTTAAATTTATATCATCAAATCAAAATTCTTCAATTTCAGTATTGGGGTAAATAATAACAGCATCAGCTAATGTGATTGGAATATGTATTATGTCAGTCTGTGTGGTCTTCTGATGAAGTTAAGGGGATTAGGATACAGATTACAGTTTTCTTTCTTCAGTGACAGGAGGAGACAATGTGCTACCAGTCTGTCTTTTTCATCATGAATTTAGGAAGACTAAGTCCCTTTATCTCTCTTTCTTTTATAGTCAACTTTCTTTTGAATCACTTGCCATCTCTTTCATTTTATATATTTAACAACAGCACTTTAAAAATACTAATCACCTTACAAATCATTGTTCTTACATGGTCATGGTTTTTTTGTTAGTGTGTCCCTTAGATGCATCTTGGTGTGTGTTTCTTTCAACTTAGACACAAATTAATTAGATAATAGAAATACATAGAAAGGACATACTGAGAATTAAAAAATCTCACAGGATGGCCTTCTGTCAAAAATACTAGTTGATGAAAGTATTAGAGATATACAAAATGTTTTTCAGACACTTAAGAAGAATTGCTGTTCAAAGGAGCTTGTAGTCAAAGCACAGACACAAAATGTGCCTTAAATTTTTCTTATTTATTTGGTAGCTTGCATCTGCCATGTTAAATATCTTATGGAATAGAGCATGGAGTAACAGCCAGCTGAGCACAAATGGATGAACAAGAGAAGAGCTGTGCTGACATAACTGCACTGTTCCAGTGCTGACACTTCTCTGGGGTGTCAGCAAAGCTTCTCAACACATATAAACCCACTGTTGCCAAATCAGGAGAATTTATTGCATGGAAGAGTTTTGGGTTTTAAATTCCCAGCTGCTGCATGATTGTGTCCTGGATGAGGTAGAGAAGTGAGAATTTGATGGACAGATACACCTTGAGGGAGACAGATGGCCTGCCATGGCTGTCCATTTTCATGTTGCAGCCCAAGTTTTATGGTAAGATATAATAAAGCATTCCAATTTTAAATTTGGTGTAAGAGTGCATTTGACCAAGTCAAGGGGATTGATACACTTCTTTCCCTGTAATATTTATCAACTCTTACATTCCTTTGCATTCTTTTCACTAAATGAAGTTGGTCTTTCCAGTGAGGTTAAGATAATTTTACAGTCCTCATTCTGCCAGCCGTAAACTTTGCCTGCTGCTAAACTTTATTAACCTTTAGAAAAACAAATTATGTGAAAGCTACAATATATGCAGAAAGTCATAGTAAATATAATTCATTTGGCATCTGTTTTATTTAAATAGATGAGAAGTCATTCACAAAGTTTCTGACTAGAATTCAAATGTAGTATGTATGTTTCTGGACAGCTAATATAATCCAGTTTTGTCTCTGTTGTCTCTCTTTGAAGAGAAAGTAATCACAATAATTCACCTTTTAATTTATTTTCTGTTGTACACAGGGCTGAGTTTATGAGCTATCGTTAGGGGAAGTTTTGATTTATTTTTTTATTGTTTTCTTAACTGTAGAAGTGTGTGTTTTGTTTTACCGGTGTACTTCAAAATTATTTTTATATACAAATGGATATTGTAGGTTTGCTGTTAATAGCATAGATTTAAGAGTTAGCCCTTTATTTTCATAGGTACGAGTCTAGTACTTGCCAATCAACAATATGCGTGTTAAAGAAAATGCACACACAAGTGAGATTAGTTTATAATTTGCCACACATCATGGTCTGTGCAGTTTGATGCCTTCTTTAAGAAAAACTTCATTTCAGTGAATTACTGTTTGTGGGGTTTTTTTATAAGCTTCATAGTGCATGCAAGCTAGAAAACCTTACAAACCTGCAAGTGTTCTTACTACAAAATTTTGGGGTTGAGTCTTCTGTACTGTGTATGTATGTTGGTTTTGTGTTGTCTATGAAATATGAATAAGGGCTTGTCCACAAAGTACCTGTAAATTATTTATTTTTTGTGTAAGAGCACTTATATTGGGGTATTGGTTAACCCTTCCCAGTGTTGAAGGCTGGTCATAGTAACTGTTGCATTTTATACTTGTTGTTTCCTGGGCTCTGCAGTAGGCATGGTGAAACTATAGGAAAAAGCCAATCAATTATCTCACCAGAAAATTTGTTATCTAAATATAATGTGAATTAGTTGCTTTTTATTCTTGTGCTACACAACTTTTTCCTCTCTATAAAAAAAAAAAATCTGTGATGTAGGAATTAGTAATAACAACATTGAAATTCTGAGTAAAATTTAAGTCTGACCAGCATCTCCTCTGATGTCAGGAACCTACTTCTGTGATACCTGCTTCTGCCTCCTTTGAATAGGTGAGGGAGCTCTGTTTTTCTAAATCAACATGCATTTGCAGTTGCTTTCATATTACATTTTTGCATTTTTCTGGCACACTTCAGTAATGAGGTAATTGACTGAGCAGTGGATTTCTTCAGTGTTTCAGTACTTCAGTTTCAGCAGAGCTGCTGATTACACAGGTACCTGTGTGGGAATACTAGTGTGGAAGAACTAATGCCCTGCCCTCCAAACCTACAGTGTTTCCTGATCTTGTATTAAATTGTCTTCATCTTGTTTTACCTCTCCTGTGCTTTGAACTTACCAAACTTTTTAAGCTAAAGCTTGGGCTGCATATCATTCCTACTTGACTTTCTTACTTGTATTTCTTGCTTTTGCATGTGAAATCCTTTTTTAACATGTTCTGTTTATGCACTGTGGATTGTTTCAGGTTTGTATGCCTGTATTTAAGGGCTTACATCACACTGTTGTAGGTTGGTCACATTCCAGATTTTCTGTTTGATATCATTTATCATTTACCATCTGGGTGATTACTTTAAATCCTTTATTCTCCATGAAAAAATCTTTCATACTTCTCATTATTTTTGGAAAGGTCTTGATGAGTGCACATATGAGTTAACTCCTTGACCTCATTCCATCTTCCAAGAAAATCTCTCTTCTCCTTTGCCTGCCTGTGAGAACTAGAGGAAGAGGAAATAAATTATTTCAAGTGCTCTTTTTTTCCCTTTAATAAGTGCCTTCCTTACTTAACCTGGTATGTCTTAATTGTTTCTTTTATTTCTGCCTCCCATGCTCCCAGGCACATACAAGCCCCTCTCTCATGTTTGACTGCTGCTTGTTCAATCATGGAAACTTTTTGAGTTGTTTACTGTTCTGAAAAGAAGTATAAAATTGCATGTATACTCTGGAGGGCAGGAAATAATAAGTAAACTTCACAAGTTAAGGAAGTAATTAAATGGATTAATACTTTTTTTCTGGAGGGATTTTTTATATGGTTTAGTTAATAGCTCAGAATTCTTTAGTGGAGGGGGTTTTCTTTTACATTTTACCTGTTTAAAAGTCTTTATATTAATTTTAATATTTAATATAAAACTCCTGATGTTTCAGCTTTTAGAGATTAATTTCAGTCTTGCCTATGAGGCAGGAAAGCCCTATCACCATTTCAGAGATGTAGCATAAATGGTATCTTGCCCAAAGTTGCCTTGGTAAGTCTGATGAGCAAGGAATAGATGTTAATACCCTAAGTCCAGTGTGCCCCAAGTCCAGCAGAGCCCATCTGTACTTTAAATGAAATGGTACCAATGAAAAGTCAGTTTTCTTTTACCCCCAGCACTAGAGATGTTCAATTGTTTCTTTTCCTTGTTCTGTACAAGTACAATTTAAAGGGAAAATAAGGCAGCCATAAAATAGCTTTTTCTGCATTTTATTTGAAGTTTTTTGCATTGTCATTTTTTGTTGATTTGTTGTTTTCTTGTGAGCACCTCTGTGGAAGCAAGCTGGACACAGTAGTAGATTTAGGAGAAGCATAATATCCTTCACTTTAAGGTGACTGATTCACTTTGCTACTAATCAAAAGCTGATGCCATGGGAAAACTATGAGGAATTGTCATCACATGAGGAATTAAGCATAATGATGCATTGTGGGGTCTATATCACTTTGCCATTCTCTTGTAGAGAAGCAAAGACTATTGCAATAAAGAATATTCATGCACAAATAGTCAGCTTAGAATACAATGCTGACTTAACACTTCTCTACACCTGGATTGTGTTGTTACGCTAGTTTTTTGAGATGTGTTAGTAATGTATTGCTTGTCTCTACTTTTTAGATGTTTTCTTTGTTAGATTTCTCAGTTTTATGCTTCCTTTTTTTTTTTTATCGCTTAGGTTTTAAGTGTGGAGTTTTACATTGTAATTTTGATTACATCTCTAGTGCTGTGACCAGTTCTGGGCTCACCAGCTCGAGAGGGAAATGGGGCTACAGGAGAGAGTCCAGCAAAGTGACGAGAAGATGATGGACTCAGCCATCTCACCTGTGAGGAAAGGCTGAGAGACATGGGATTTTTCATCCTGGAGAAGAGAAGGCTGAGGGGAATTCCATCAATGTGTACAAACATTGAAGGGAGGACACAAAGATGGGGGAGCCAGGAATGACAGCCCTGAGGCAGTGGGCACACACTGAAACACAGGGAGTTCCCTCTGAATAGAGGAAATACTTTCTTACTGTGAAGGTGATTGGGCACTGGCATGGATTGCCCAGAGAAGTTGGGAAGTCTCCATCACTGGATATATTCAAAAATTGGGTGTGGTCTTGGGCAGCTGGCTGTGGGTGGCTTTGCTTTGAGCAGGGGCAAAGGCACCTTCCAACCTCAGTCACTCTATGATCTTTAACTTTGCTGTCTTTGTCTATCTTCCACTTTTTCTCATGTTTACAAATTGTTAATAAATATGATTAAAGCGAGTATCTCTGAGTTGGCTACAGTAACTGCTAGAGCTGGCAGCACCATTCTGGAAACACCTGAGAGTGTGGTTCTGGCTGCACAGGGAGTACCTCCAGAGCAGAATCCCGTGGGGAGAGAGACACCTTCCTTTGGTAACTGCTGCTCAGTGCAAAACAAGAGTATGTGACAACAAATGCAAGACACTTGTAGATGAAATTGATACTGTCAATATAGAAGGAGTTCAAAGTTGCTTTTTATTTTCTACATTTAGAGCTTGCAAAGCTCTCTGCTGCTCTAGTGCAGCACCTGATTCACAGGTACGCTGGAAGTGCTGCTACGCTGCCTGCTGCCTTCTTGTCAGCATTCTGCATGAATGTGGACAGCTGTGGAAGATGCCCTCTCACTTGTTCAGAGCCCAAGTATGAACTCCACTTAAATACAGCTCTGTAGTAACAGGCATTCGTGGGAGCAGATCTGTGCAAAAGTCCAGTGCATAACAGGGTCTGCAAGGAACATGCACAACTTGTTTATTGGGGACTGTTGTGCTGGGGTACTGGTTTTAAACTAAAATAGGGTAGATATAGATTGGGTATAAGAAAGAAACTGTTTACAATGAGAGTGGCAAACCAGTGGAACAGTTGCCCTGAGAGGTGGTAGATGTCCCATCCCTAGAAACATTTAGGGTTCTGTTGAACAGAAGTCTGAGCCACCTGATCTAATTGAAGGTGTTCCTGCTCATTGCAGAGGGTTAGACCAAGTGACCTTTAGAGGTCTCTTCTAAACCAAACTATTCTATGTTCTCAAAGGCGATTTGAGGCCCCTGGAAGGCTTTAATGCATAAAGAAGAGTTTGTATAGGCTTCAGGCAGCAACAAGCAGAATTTAAGCTCTTTAGGCTTTAACATGCCTTTAATCTTTTGTTGATTTAGCCTTAAGTTAGGATTATTCATTTTATGTACTATCCAAATTTTGGTACTGGAAAATCTTTTTAGTGAGAAATACACTAAAAGTTCCCCTTAATAAGCAGTTCAAGCTGACAGCTGGTAGTGCTGTATACCTAATTTACACTGTCCTGTGCAGTGCAGCTTATAAACAAATAACTGAGTGAGTGCTTGGCCTCTTCAAATGAAGACTGTATTCTCACTGTTAGGAAATATATAAAAGAAAACAAATTCTGTGTAACTTTGTAGATAAGAACTGGTTTAAAGCTAGCCAATCCTTATTTTGAGTCACACCTGATTTCCCTGGACTCCTTAATAAATAGCTCATGCCTGGCTGTACAAGCTTGGCTTGCAGACTTCAACTTTCCTGGGATTAAAACAGCCTGAGATTAAGCTATCATGCTTGCATGCTTGCCAGGTCTGAGACCACTTATTGCCTGAAGCTTTTGGATCCCCAGGCACATAGGTAAAGGCTGCTTGAATCGACCATCTTAGACTTGGTAAATTTTGCATCAAAACACAGCTTCAATAGAATTTATTCTTTGATGAGAATTCAGGTTTTTTTTCCCAGGAAGTTGAAGGATAGGCTGCATACAAATGATACATAGTTTGGCATCTCAGTAAAAATGTCACTAGTGAAGAGAGCTAACTTTCTTCCTACTGAGAGCTAAATTTGTGCAGCGAACCGGTGTAGCTGTGTATCAGAAAGGTGCAATGTGATATCTTTTACCGATTATATTTCTGCACTCTGCACTGGGGTAGGATAAAGAAAGGAATGAAAGTCAAGATGTGTTGGAGAGCAATAGTATTAATTCTTGACCATCCTGCTTTTACATTGCATAACATTGAATGCAACAGATACAAAGCAGTTTTCAGTAATCAAACTAAGGCTCAGGACAGGGATTTTTCAAAGGAATTGAAGACAATTTAAATACTATTGAGCCTTTACTACTCTACTGTTCTGAAAATATCAAATTCAACCACTACTGAAGAGCATCAGGCTGCCTCTCTCTGTGGAAAGCTTCTCTTCCTGTCTATGGAGATCCACAGTGAAGGCAGATTAATCTTAAATGTTTATCTTGCTTGATGTAGGTATGCTGAGACTTTGTGGATGGAAAAAGGATGGCTTCTGTCAGTCATCTTCAGTGCAGGTCCTCCAAATCTGAGAACATCTGTGCAAAACTGAAAATGACTGAACAATGTTTGGTAGTTACACAAGTGGCCAAAGGGAGCTTTTTATAATTTAGTGTGCAATTTCCTCAATATGCTAGATTTCTTCTTCTGGAGCTGTAGTTGTTTGATCAGCTTAACTGTTCTCTTTCTGCTAATGACTTAGAGTGTTAAAATGTGGGTTTTTTTAGAAAATTCAGATACTTGTGTTTTGCAAAATTTAGGGAGTTCAGATTGATTCTTTTTAATTTGTTTTATTTTTCCTAATTAGAATTTTATGGTGCAGGGGATTATTTATAAGTAGTTTTCAATATTAGTCTTTTATCCTCTGTTTAGTTTATTTATTGAGACTCACAGTAAAAACTGCATGTCTTCTTGTCCATCTTCATTTCTATTATTGCAATCTCTTCAAGAGAATTGGTGACCTGCATCATTTTTTCAACATCATGTAGTAAATAATGGTACATGTCTGAAATTCATCACAATGGCAAATAAGATTTGCATCATAGTGCATCATCCTTTCCAAACTGCCATAGCAGGGAGGCCTGGCAGTACATCCATTACCTCTGTAATTTCTTGCAAAAAGCTTGATTTTTCTGCTCTTTGATGTTTTAAGGCAGCAACAGAAAAAGAGCTGAGGTAGCTACATGGGGATGTGAGCCTTTGGGAGAATGTTGTTTTATTTTAGTCAGAGGTTCAACCCACACAAAATTGCTTGTGGCTTTATCTCCATATTTGCTCCTCTGCCCTTACCCTTTTCATTTTCTCATAACTGGAGAATACATTTAAAAACCTGGCATCCTAGTTACTAATTTTGTACTGTGCAGGATTTTTTTTTTGTTGTTTTGTATTCCTTTCACCATGACAACTATGCCCTTATTGAATGTTCATTTTGTTCTCCTTTTGAGCAGAAGATGCATGGACTATTTCTTTGTGCAAAGTTTTGAATTATTGAAAATAAGGACCAGATCCCTAAAAATATGTAAATGTTTTGCTATCATCCATCCTTAAAATGGATGATAGACAGCAAAGAGTTTGTGTCCACAAATTTCTGTGATGTGAGATTGTGAGACTCAGAAAAATTCCACGCAGTAGGAGCTGCCCATGTGTGCACACTTATCACTGGAAAAACCCATAAATTATCTCATATGTGTTGAGCACATGGGATGTCACTGTGGAATAGCTGACAGTATAAAATCACATTCTTCCATACTTTGCAGCAGCTTTGATGTGTCTGTGACCTGTACTCAGTTACATTTTGCAAAGAGCTGGAGAATATCTGGGAATGAGCAGAGGGATGCAGCCAATACCTCCTTAAATACATGTGTAGCCTCATAACTTCAGCAGTCTCTTTAGCAGAAAAAATGGTGAAAAAATCACAGCAAAGCCCCACTGCTTGTGGTCTTTTAATATCCAGCTATCAAAACAGCAGTACCAGTAGCCTGTGAGTTCCCACTGCTGTAGGGATGAACATTTCCCCTCTCTGCTAAACCAGTTAATATTAAGTCTGAATTTATACCTGTTATATTATCCTACCAATAAACAAAACCAAAACATTTTTCTATCAGGTATAATTTCCTTTCTGTTAAAGTGTGAGCTACATCCAGGCTCTCTTAACTACCATATAGTCAATTTCAGATTTATTTTGACAGTGAAATAACTGACACTTATGAGTCTAATTTAATTTCATCTCTTTGCCTGTGGAATTCTAGTATCCAAAAGCAAACCAAGTGATTTACTTGTATTTGTTGCTCAGAAGTCTGTGTCTGGCACTACTGCATCTTATTTTTTAAACAATGTATTAATAAAGTTTTGTTCAGACACAACTGCCTGTTTCTCCACAGCTATCTGTGAAAATCGGTATTTTTAGTCTACAAGAAGTGTATTAACTACAAATTTGTCCAAATTCTATTGAATGTAGTGCATTGCACAGTGTACCATACAGCCTGTTGACAGTTATGAGCTGCATGGACTGCAGATCTATTGTGACTTCACTGCAAGAAGACTGTAACTGCTACTTACATTTCAGAAGAGGACAGAATCTCCTATCTTTGGGATCTCCTGTTGAAACAGATGAATTAGTTCTGTTCTGCCAAAAAATGACATCAGAAAATATTTGAGACCTTGCCTTGTCAATGGAGGACATCTCACTTGTATGAGCTCATATGTTTAATATGCATGAAATTAGTGTGGTTTTGCAGAATGGACAATTAATGGTTTTTAAAGAAACTGTGTATGATTAAGCAAAAACATACAGTTTACCACAAAATGAGATCAACCACCTCCTCCCTGGGGCTGAGTTTCAGCAATTTAAACTCCTTCAAACTCAACAGCTAAACTGGAGTAGTTGTGTGTATGATTTGGCTTGGGTTGAGGACAAATTTCATCCTTAGGGAAAGTGTAGGAAATATTTTGGTGGTAGAAAAGGTAGGAACAACAAAAGCTAAGAAAGAGCAATTCAGTCTTACTGGAAATACTGTTTGATCTAAGACAAGATGTTACATTTTTAGTTAAGTGCCGGAATAGATCTTTATCCAGAGATCCAGTTACCACACCAGTCATCCTGACTCCTGGAGTCCCTTTCCTTGAGAAGACTGTAATGTTACAAGTTCATAGAGGAGGTTTAAATAAGAGGATGACAAGATGGGCACTTTCCCACCACATTGTGGAACATAATTTACTTGGGCAGTTTTGTAGCTAGGAGAGAACTGAAATAAAAGAATTAGGTCTTCTATGTAGGTCCTATATTAAAGGTGCATTGTATCTTACCAGTTTTACAGGACAAAATAGAATCGGCCCAAAATATTCTTTCCAATTTCATTCTTTATATTTTACTAACATTATAGTTGGAGCATCAACACCTGGGAATCTGACCTTCACAGTTCTGTTACTCCTCCAGAATAAGGCTGGCAT